CTGGCAGTCAGCACAGAGCGCGACGTGGGGCTCAAACTCGTGAAACACGAGATCGTGACCTGAGACGAAGCGGATACTCAACCGACTGAGCCCCCCAGGCACCCCTGAGTGATTTATATGTTGAAATACCCTTGCATTTCCGGGATAAGTAGCGCTCAGTCATGGTCCATATTCCTGTTTATGTGTCGCTGTATTTACTTTGCTCATCTTTTGCCCAAGAGATCAGCCTGTTAGGGGGACTGTGTTTGCTTGCTTCACGTGGGAGCTTAGGAGGAGGATACTAGCAGTCTGTACTCTTGGCTTTGAAGACAGGCTGGGTGTCCTCTGACCTCAGGAGCACTCCTGGTGCCTGTCCTTCCTCACAAGCTGAGTCCGAGGTGGTGGCCAGAGTGTTTCATGGCCCAGGAAGCTGGTCATTGTCCTTGAATCACTTTCAGGGTGGAGACAAGAGCCCAGCCCAAGACCCTTTTCTTTACCCCGATCCCGTGGCCTACTTCTGGTGGGTTAGTGGTGTGGAATAGGCAGCATTTTGACCAACGGTGGGTGTCTGGGCCTGGTGTCCCAATAGGTGGGGCAGTTTGACCTTCGGTTAATCTCAGGCTGTGGGGGAGGTAATGGTGATCTCTGCATTTCTCGTGCTCTCTCGGGGGCTCTTACCCTGGTGTCACACATAGAAGTCGGCTCTCCATGAGGCTGGAGAGGAGAAAGTGGCTTATTTTCACCTACCTTTCCGTGAAATTGAACATTTGCCTTAATTATGAAGGTAGGCATCAGATGTCCCCTGTCATGGGGAGCAATCACGGGTGTTTCCATGTTCCCTTACGGTTGTCACAGAGTCTTGATCTGTTGTGTGTGCTCCTCACTGCTTTGTAACTCCTGCACTGCCAGACCCAGTGGGCCCTGTTACCTGCCGCACTGAGAGGGCCAGGCACTGCGGTAGCACGCTGTCACCATCCCGGTATTTTGACACTTTGATCATTTATAGTCCTATTTTATGCCTTCCGAACATTATTCTGAAGGCAGTCCTATTCTTTTCCTTACGCGAGAGACCGCCTTCATCTCCTGACTAAAGGAGAGCTCCTTTCCAAGGGGACGATTTCACACCTCCCCACACCTTCAAGAAGATGGACACAAGCTCCTGGTAACAGGAAGCAGGAGTTGTCATGGGAGACCAGCAGACCCACGCCCAGAGATTGTAAAACAACAACACAACCCTAATGACATCATGATTCACAGTTCGAAGCTTGGCCACGGGTGGGGGTGGGGATGGTGTATACCTTTGTGCATGATGTAACTATTTAGAGGCACAAAAGTCTCTATAAACGTTCGGGGCTCGAACTCACAAACTGTTAAGGTCATTACCTGAGCCAAAATCAAGAGCCTGATGGATGCTTAAACACATGTGGGGCGCCTGGGTGTGGCTCAGTCGGTTAAGCATCCGACTTCGGCTCAGGTCATGGTCTCATGGTTCGTGGGCTCCAGCCCCACATTGGGCTCTGTGCTGACAGCCAGCTCAGAGCCTGGAGCCTGTTTCAGATTCTGTGTCTCCCTGTCTCTCTGACCCACCCCTGCTCATACTGTCTGTCTGTCTCTCTCTCAGAAATAAATAAAACATTAAAAAAGTAAAAAAAAAACCCTGAGCCACGCAGGTGCCCCTCTATATACTGTTTTGATGGCCAGATTTAATTTATTTAATTATGCATAAGAGATATCTTTCCATATGAAAACACATTTCCAGAACTTTTTAATAACAGGATTAAAAAAAAAAAAACAAATGACAAAAGCAGCACACGAGCAGTGTGGAGGAGGGACGCACAGAAGAGGCGGTGAGGTACCGGGGGGGGGGGGGTGGCTCCCGGGACTGCTGCGTCCACGTCGTCCCGCTGTCACTGCGGGGTCCGTCCTGCAGGATCGGGGGCCAGGAGTGGGATTGCTGACTCAGAGCAAAGCCTGTGCTCTCTGGATTTTGATGCTTTTTGGAAAATTGCTCCTCTGAAAATGACATTCTTCCATCTCCCTACCAGTAGCATGTTGTGTGTCTGTCTCCTCAGATCCTCGCCAGCGCTGTGTATTTCCTTTTTTATCTTTGCTGATCTGATAGGCTGTTGTGTGTTCAGTTGCATTGCTTTGATTCATTGCATCATTGAATGGTTTCCTTTGGTTTTGGCTCTCGGTTTCTTTTTTTCCCCTCATATGAATCACCTCAGTGTTTTCTTGGCAGTATTGCTCGGGGTCCTGGCAGAATGCAAATGTGGCCAGAGTCTTTACAGGAAAACAACGTAATGAGGGGACCAGTTACAGAGAGCAGGGCAGAGGAGGCAACAGGGCTGGATCCCCACAGCAGGACTGTGAGCCCCTCGGCCCCCGCTGGGGGTGGGGCAGGTGGGAGGGCTCAAGGCCCCCGGGAGCCACTTCTGTGGGAGGGGGTACCAGCCGCAGGTGGGCCGGCGCAGTCTCCTTGCCTCCTTCTGGGGCTGCTGCTGGCTGCAGGGCTGTAGTACACCGGAGCACGGAGGCCATGTCTGAGGGTCAGTGGGGAAGAGCCGGCACATTGGCTGTGTCTGTGTCTTCCTCCTAGGCGTCTGCCCGTGGAGGCCTTGGGACCAGCAGTCAGGAAGTCCCCCGTGGCGAGCCTCTCCAGCTCTAGGCAGCCCCAGGGACGGTGAGCGGGATATGATGACTGGCGGGCCTCTCAGCCCAGACTGCCATATGCTGCGTTGGTGTGGCCAGGGGCCCGGGTTTCCTTTTGCATCTTGACTCAGGTGTTGTGTTAATTTATAGCCATATACCATCAAGAATTTTGTAGACAGCCAAACATAGATGTGTTGCATTTCATCCCAGGTAGCTGTAACCCCCAGTCACTTCTGTGTCAGGACCGATCTGAGGTGCCCAGTACATAGCCTCCGATCAGTGCAGAAGGAGAAGGCTGCTTCCCCTGGACGGAACATAGAGCAGAGCAGGCAATTTTGAGAAGGAAAGATGAAGGCACTTTCAGCTGTTCTCCCTTCCCTAGCTCCCCCTCCTCCAGAATGTTCCAGAACCTAGCTGGCTGCTCTGGCTCTATCTTGGGCTATGTTTTTGGAGGGTAGTAGAGTACAGCCCCAGTGAGGCTGTACAGAGGCCAATCAGGACCTCGGCTCGTTTGGGGCTGGAGGAGTCCCGCTCTTTGGTGCCCTGTGGGTGTTAGCTACACCCCTGGCATCTGGCCACTAGGTGACTGTAACCAGCCCCCATTCCCATCCCCCTCCCCCTCCCCGTGGTGCCTGCCAGAAATGTGTCCAGACATCCCCAGGTGGCCCACATGTCCCAGGTAAGAACCCTGAGTAGAGCGGTTGGGACACTTATCACTAAGCTCACCCAGCAGGACTCTGCACGGGCGGTCACCGCTCTGTGCGTCACTGGTTTCAGAAGGGGCCTGGAGGGCCAGAGACCGTCCAATGGCAAGTGTGTTGGTGTGAGGTTTTACCTCTTGGGCTGGGAAAATGTGTCCTTAGGGACAAATACTTTCTGGCGTTGATTATTAAAGATACTGAGAAAAAGAACTGCTTGATCCCTGGAGGGGTCAGGCTAGGTCACACGGCTGGCTGTTTTTCCTTTTTTTTTTTTGGTTTCATTTAATTTTGAGACAGAGAAAGACAGACCACATGTGAGGGAGGGCCAGAGAGGGAGGGAGACACAGAATCTGAAACAGGCTCCAGGCTCTGAGCTGTCAGCACAGAGCCCGACGCGGGGCTCGAACCCATGAATCGTGAGATCATGACCTGAGCCGAAGTCGGACGCTTAACCAACTGAGCCACCCAGGCACCCCTAGTTTGTCCAGAATAAAATGTTGTTGAGCCATGGTGTTTTGTGTCGCGTCTGCTTTGGGGTGCCGGGCTAGGAGACGGGGCCATGCTGGAATGTGCTGCTGGGAAAGGTGGCCTCATCCCGGGGCCTGTCCCAGCAGGCCCACAAGCCTTGCCGGCAGCCGTCCAGTGCTGGGTGCGGAGCGCTGTGGGCGCGGGGCCAACCCGGGAGGTGGTGGCAAGGCAGGTCACGGCAGGTGAGGTGGAGCGTCTCCAGGCAACCGTCAGAGGGGAAGCAGCATTTCACGTGCTCCTGAGGGAGCTGTTTTGCTCTCAGATGGGGGCATCTCACACAGGAATCCCGATCCTGTGTCTGATGGTCACAGGAAAAGGCAGAGTGGTCGTGCGATCTCCAGTGTTGCGCCCGTGGGGGCGCCCCCGGAACAGTGTGACAGCACAGGCGGGCTTGTGTCTGCAGTGCTGCTTGGTCAGGGCCGCCCAATTGCTGCTGTGCCCCTGGGGTCTTTGAGGGAATCCTCTGGTAGTGAGCGGGTCTAGAGGGTCCTGCTGCCACTGACCCTATGAGTCTGTGGTGTGAGCGTGGTGACCCTTGTGTCGCACAGTCCTAGAGGCGGTGCTAGAAGCAGCGGGGTGTCGAGAAGCTTCCCTCGGTCTTACTCCACCTGTAGTCCCTAGCCTCCTTGAGCTGTTGGTTAAGGAGGTGTGTGGCCTTCAGGGGACCAGTCCTTTCCCACGTGTATGTGTCCTATCTGTGCCAGCTGTGTGCCTGGGGCTGTTTGAGGTATCATTCGTGGACCAAACAGGCACAAGCCCTCTCTCTCCGTGATGTGAGCTGACAAGTCTGTGTGAGAACACCTCTAGCGTGTCGCTGAGACATGCCCGGAGAACGTGCGGCAGAGTGGTCTGGCAGGGCAGCCCTGGCGGCCAGGACTGCTGTCACAGAGCAAGTGACCTTTGAACCAGCCTTGGACCAGGACCAGAGAGTCCAAGAAGGGGGTTTGAGGGGAGGGCCCTGGACAAGTTAGGGTTTTGGGAGTGTATAGTCGGACTCCAGGGGACCAGGGCCGGGACAGAGCCCCACTTATGCTCACATGAACCATGATGTCATGATGGATGAACATCCAGGGTGCAGTGTCGATGACAAATGCTTTGTGTCTCAGCGTGACCTTTCTCCCTTTTCCCTCCTCTCATCAGCCAGGGCCAACTCGTTTGTAGGAACAGCCCAGTATGTGTCTCCAGAGCTGCTCACAGAGAAATCGGCCTGTAAAAGGTAACCCGCTTTCATCTGATCCAGAACATTCTCTTTTCTCCACGGTGGCTATTACGTACATTTTTTCATATAAAGTTAATAGTTAAGAGAGGGCCTTTTATGGTCTTTATCAGTATCTTCGATAACCTGTGTGCTACTTTATTGTTATCCATTATTCTTCCCAGGATCATTGTTGCTTTGTGCGTTGGTGTTTGATCTTGTTCCTTTAGGAGCAACTATCCAGTGGGGGAAGGTGGGCCCAGGAGGTCCGTAGTCCTAGCTGTGTCCCTGTGCCTTGGGGTCCTTAGTACTGCCCACGGTCGGTGCTCTGTGGACACCGACTGAACGAAGAGGCCCAGAGGAGGCGTGTGTGGGAGGGGATGGAGCCGGTTTCCTGGTGGGGGTGCAGCCAGCGCCCACTGTCCCTCCCCAATGCTCCGAACTGCGTCGGGCCTGGGCTGGGGCCTGAGGTATGAGTATCAGAGGTGCACGGATGAGGCTGTGCTTACAAGGACCGGAGGTGCCATGGGGGACAACGTGCCATTGGCCAGGAGCAGGGAGTAGCCCGGGGGCTGTCTTGGGGCACCTGGGGCAGCATTGGAGTCCGAGGTCTCAGTTTGGAGAGTGCTTCCAGATGGCAAGTTGGGTGGCTGCAGCTTCTCCCTGGATTGTTGCTACAGCCACACTGTCAGTGTCCCGTACTGGCCACGAGGGGTCCCTTAGCTAGAGAGACGGGTGCTGCCACCTGGGGGGTGGGGAGCTCTGTGTTCCTGAGCGTGACCACTTTTTAAGAACTGGAGGGGGTGAAGCCCCTGGTCTCACCTGCTGCCTGATGGGCGTCTTAGTCTTCAGGTCCTCTGTTTTTGTTTTTGTTTTTCTTACTTAGTCAACAGATTCTGAGCTTTTACCCCATGTAGGGCAGGGCCTCTCAGTTGGGGCAGCTTTGCCCCCTAGAGTGTATTTGTCTGTGTCTGGACAGTTCACTGTCACAGCCTGGCAGGGGCGGGGAGGGAGTGCTAGTGGTGTCCTGTGGGTGGAGTCCGGAGATGCTGCCCAGCATCGTGCAGTGCAGAGACGGCTGCACGGCAAGAGTGAGTCGGCCCCTGGTGTCCCCTGAGCCGAGGCTGAGAAGCCCTCCTCTGGGTGGTGGGTGCCGGTGGCCAGAATCTCAAAGCCTGGGTCACTGCTGCCTGAGGACAAGCTTGTCCTTGATTTGGGGCATTTAGGATGAAGCAGCCCTTGAGTGCTGACGGGGCAAAGTCTCCGGGCTCTACCGGGAGACAGAGAGGCCGCCTTCTGTGTGCAAACTGGAAGGACACTGCCCACATTTGCTTGTCCGTCATTTAAACTGTCTTCAGTGGGTGTCCCAGCAGTGGGGACAGCGCTATGAGGGAGACATCATTGAGCATCTTTTTATGCTTTTAAATGTTTAAGTTGTATGATATTTATTCATAAATAGTTAATAGTTTTCTCATTCTAAAAGTGACACCTTTGTATGGTAAAGAGCTCTTAGAAAACGTGGAGAATACAAGAATGGGAACACTCATAGTCTGCATCCTGCTTACAGACACCAGACCTGGTCTGGCGCGTCCTTCCAATTCGTTGTTTCTGTGTGTCTTCTGTGTGTTCACGTGCCTTCTGTTCAGCTGGAGTTCTGCTCAGTAACCAGGTTTGAGCCCTGCTCCTTATGATCATGGAGCAGACCTCTCCCCACACCCCTGAAATCGTCTGCAGACATCTAATAGCCACGCGCTTCCGGCCTGTGGGTCTACCACAGTTCATCAAGCTCTTCCTCTGTTGTTGGACTCTGAGGTGCTTTACATTTATTTGGCACAACCTGGCCTGTCTGCTGGGTGCCCGCATGTCCTGTGTCCTGGGAGGAAGGGTGCTCCTGCCCCTTGTCTGCTGGGTGGCGCTTGGGGTGCCCAGGTTCCTCTGTGTGGATTTCAGGAAGTGGAATGACTTGGTCTAACTTGGTATTTTAAGATCCTTGGTGCATACTGCTTTCCAGAAATGTTACACTGGCTTCCCCCTTTAGTCTCTATTCTATTAAAAAATCACTTTAAATGGTAAGAGCTGCTGGTGATGAGCACAGAGATGACTCACAGAGGTGAGAGCAGCCCAGGGGAGCCCTGCTTTGTGGAGATGCCGGCCGGCCCGCAACCTGCACCTGGTCTCTGGCCGTTGCCGCCCCACTGAGCCGATGCTTTTCTGTTGTGTTTGTTTTGTGTGGGTCCCCATCTTACCTAGACTAAACAGTAGAGAAAAACCAGTGTAAAAAGCTAGTTATTGGGTAGAATGTAGATTCATTTTATAAATGCCCTACGCTCCATCCATATGCTGTGCCTCAGATTTCTGATCTCTTGTATTTTTTAACCCGTGTCGAATGCCCTTCACCCGCACTCTACAGTCTCGTCTTCGGGAATGCCAGGCTATGGCCTCCCCAGAAGCTGGCTGTATCCAGCAACCCATGAACCCCCATAGGTCTAGGGCTGGAGGGGGAGGCAACTGGCGGTGTGGATAGATTGCATGTGTATGCTTCTGTAGGGTTTAGCTGCGAATAGAATGTAAAACTTACAATAGATCTCAGACACTGAGGGGAGAGAGTAAACAGAGACGGGGCAGTGGCATCATAGGTGAGGAGAGCACCTCCTTCAGGGTTCCTGCCACCTGGTCTGGAAACAACTTAGGAGAATTTTAGAACTGTTCCTTTTTATTGATGTTTTTATTTACTAAAAAATGTTTTTAATGTTTACTTATTTTGAGGGCGGGGGGGAGGGACAGAGCATGAGTGGGGAGGGGCAGAGAAATGGAGACACAATTAGAAGCAGGCTCCGGGCTCTGAGCTGTCAGCACAGAGCCTGATGCGGGGCTTGAACTCCCAAGCCATGAGATCATGACCTGAGCTGAAGTTGGATGCTTAACCCGCTGAGCCACCCAGGTGCCCCAGAACTGTCTCTTTTCTAGTGTGTAGTCCGAGTGTTTATGAAAGAGGGGTAGCCCTCTTCACAGCCAGCTCAGGAAAGGAAAGAGTTAAGGTTGCTTTGTGCACATCTTGTGGACTGTCTGATTTGGCTCCTTGGCACACGTGAGCTTGAGTCTGTGTTCTGGAGGTAAACTCTGAGTGAGTTACAAGATAATCTGAGTTTATTCCTAGTTGTACCAACCTGTGGTGACCGGGACAAGCCACCTTCCCTGCCCCTGCACTGGGAGAAGGTACTTTTTCCTCAGTGTTTGTGTTTCCTGTGGTCAGGAATGACCTCTGCTCCCTCTTGGGACCCCGGTGGCCCTGTGAGGAAGCAGTAGCCCTCACCAGGCATGGCGGGTCTGTGGGCATGGCTGCACAGCCTGGCCCAGCAGTGCCCGCCGTGTGAGATCCTCTGTGCCCGGGTCCCCAGGGAAGCCCCCCAACAAGGGTTCCGAGCAGGTTCCCGCCCTCACGCTGACCTGTTTTTGAAGGGGAGAAGTAGATCAGAGACTGAAATGGGGTGGTTTGAGCCGACAGGGCAGACGTGAACTGTGCTCCTCACTGAAATTTTACAAATGTCATTCTTCTGTGTTTTCCCCCCGCCCTTGAAGTTCGGACCTTTGGGCGCTTGGATGCATCATATATCAGCTCGTGGCAGGACTGCCGCCTTTTCGCGCGGGGTATGTCCACTCACTGCCCCCTGAGCCCATTGCGGCAGCTGACAGCGAGGTGGGAGGGGGTGGCCCCCAGGGCTGGGCCAGGGTAGAGGGGACTTCCACGTGGTTCTTCAGTGACCGCTGTGTCTGCAGTGAGAGAGGGCGACTGCTGTCCCGGGAAAGGGGAGGTTTGTGTGCTCTGTCCAAAGTGATGGCTTTTCTTGTTTTACAGAAATGAATATCTTATATTTCAGAAGATCATTAAGCTGGAATATGACTTTCCCGAAAAATTCTTCCCTAAAGCAAGAGACCTTGTGGAAAAACTTTTGGTAAATATTTTGAATTTTCCTCTGGGAAGATGATCTGATAGCCACATGCTGAGACCTTCTGAACTTGTGGTCACAGGAGCTTCTGTGTTAAAAGGATGGCTTGGGACTGATAATGATTGTAGATAGATTTGTATTCTCTGTCTCCTCTCTGTGAGCCCTTTTTAATTTCCTTAATAAGATAGGAAATCATTGTATCATTTTGCATTTGCTCATCCACATATGAGCAGCTAGGTGTGTTCCAGTGGCAGATGGCTGTGAATCTTAGTGATATCTATAGATGTCACCTTTAGCATTTGCTACCTGAAGGTTATAAAGGTCACCTCAGGTACTATAGCAGAGGTAAGCAGAGCTACCCGGGAAGGGTATGTGTGTGTCATTTCTAGAGCCCGCAGGGTCCCTGCCCTGGTGTGCGTGGGTGCTAGACCTTTCCTCACCATTCCTTGGCCTTGGGGAGCAGGGCGGGCCCTGTCTGGGCCTGCCCCTCCGGTGCCCGTGCCGTCAGCGGGAGCGTGTAGCTCTGGGGTGCGGGAGTGCGAGGCTGGATCTGGGAGGTGATGGCTCTGGAGCCCATGGAGATGAAGCGTGGGCGGGAGAGCACAGCACTTTGCTTCTGGTCTGCGAGAGCTCACCGTCCAGGCGGATTCTTGGTGTCTTTGTCACTGAAGCCAGTATGTTCGTTTCTCCCCCGTGGGATTTTTTAGTTGTGTGTTTTAAAAGAATACTTGTTGTTATTCATTAAATTCTGATTTACTTTCACCTGTGCAAGGGGAAGGATATAGGTTTGAGGGAGGAGCAGCAGCCCAGAGGCTGACGCGACCATCCCCCCGCGCACTGTGGGGTGGGGGTGGGGTGGGCCGCAGGGCCATTCTGCAACCAGAGACCGGAATTAGGAAGAGTATGAAGAAAGAACTTTTTTTGTCAGAATTACTTTTCGTTCCAGACACTGACTTGTTTTGACTTCCGTTTCAGGTTTTAGATGCCACGAAGCGATTAGGCTGTGAGGAAATGGGAGGCTATGGGCCTCTGCAAGCTCACCCGTTCTTTGAGTCCATCTCGTGGGAGAACCTGCAGCACCAGACGCCTCCGAAGCTCACTGCTTACCTGCCGGCCATGTCAGAAGACGACGAGGACTGCTACGGGAATGTAAGCCAGCGGCCCGAATGCAGTGTCTGGGGGTGTGGGGGCGGGGCGGTGTATACGTGTCTGCGTGTGCGTCTGTGGGGTGTGCGTGCGCCTGTGTCTGATGTGGCAGGTGTGAGTGTCAGGAACAGCCCAGCAGAGGGGAGAGGCGCCTGCTGTGCTGTGTGCGTGGTTCTGTGAGCACGGGAGTCTGGGCCTGGGCCCTGGGAGCCCAGCCCATGGGGTGCACGACTGGAGGGGAAGCCAGCGTCTTGACCTGTTGGTGGTTGAATGCGCCTGGGGCCTGGGGCAGAGGAGGCTCCCGCCCGCACGCCTGCCGGGGGATGAGGGCGGTCTCCTTTTCTTACGTCCTGTAGTTACTTTTTGCCCAGATGAGTCACACCAGAGCACGGGGCAGGAGCAGAGGGTCAGGAGTCAGCAGGAGCAGTTCCTCCACACCATCCCCTTGGGCTTCCGGGTGGGCTTCCAGGTGGGCTTCCGTCTTCTTTTGGCTGGCGTCGTTGTACTCATGTGTCTATAGACGTTCTAGAATGCTTATCTTTCCAAGAGAAGCCCAGGATGGTCCTCTTTTGAGCTTTTTGGGGACAGGGCATTCAGGATGGACATTGGTCACCGTTGGCTTTAGTGCCGGTAGAAGCAGGGTCTTAAGTGTACTTTGTTCTTTGAGCTTTTCTTCTGGAGAGTGTGAAACACGGAAGTGGGCAGAGGGGTGCAGTGAGCCACAGGGCCCTTGTCTCGCACCTTGGGTGACCAGCTCACACCTGTCGTATGCTCCCTCCTCACCCTTTACTGTGATCCCCGGATTTAAATAGGATTTCACGTGTTTCTGCTCTCACCAATCATCCATTCTCTTGTTTTAACTTCTGTGGTTGTGGCTTATCCTTTTTTTTTTTATTAAAAAAATTTTTTCTTAATGTTTATTTTTGAGAGAGACAGAGTGTGAGCAGGGAAGGGGCAGAGAGAGAGGGAAACACAGAATCCAAAGCAGGCTCCAGGCTCTGAGCTGTCAGCACAGAGCCCAACTTGGGGCTTGAACCCATGAACAGTGAGATCACGACCTGAGCTGAAGTTGGTTGCCCAACCAGCTGAGCCACCCAGATGCCCCTGTCGTGGCTTATCCTAACCAGTGATCATATACCGAATTCCACCTTATTTGATTGGGGAATTCTAGATTTTATCTAGAAGTCACCCAGGGCTTAGTTAAAAGTACTACTTGTATCATCTCTCAGAGACCAAATTTCTTCTGTCTCCTGCTTACTGTTGTAAATAACACATCACCCTTTTGCTGTTCTAAAACATCCTTTGTGCTCAGACTTGAAGGGGCCAGATGTGGGAAGCCGGACCTGCCTCCCCCACTGCGGTGGCCTCAGCTGTCAGCAGCCTCCATGTGTGCAGACCGCAGGGGACTTGGCCCCAGGACTCTGTCCCTTGGCCTGACATCTTGCCCGAGCCATGGCCACTCAGGGTGGGTTGGGGTCTCCAGTGCCTTTGGCAGGGGTGTCCTGGGAAAGCAGCGGGCTCTACCAGCCAGCTCTGAAGCAGCTGTACGTGCGGTGACTGTCTCAGACCTCCGTGCCCCAGGAGCTCCGCTTTATTGCGCTGTGTGTGTGCCCCCTGGAGTGCCCTGTGCATGCCCTCTGCTGCTGCATCACAGTCACTATGAGCTGTGAGTCACTGTGGAGAGCCCTGGCTTCTTGTACTCAAGTGTTACCGTCTTAAAACCAGCTCCATTTGTTAAGGGCTTACCTTTTGTTAGATGGCCCATCCTCCACTTTAAAAGCTGTCTTGGGAGTCAGGCAGCGCTTGCTCTACTAGACTTTCCATTTGGACAGTTAAGTGAGCTAGAAAAAGACTTAAGCCTGGAAAGGTATCAGATATAGGAGGGGGCCTTCCCTTTCTGTGGGCGTTCATGGTCTCTTGGGCAGGTTTTCACTCGAGGGGCACTGAGAGAGTCTGGGGTCCATTTCGGCAGAAAGGGGGCTTCCCTCTGGGGGCGAGGAGCTGGGAATGGTCTTGGCTCAGGGAAGGAAGCAGCAGGCACTTGGTTCTCTTGCGTGTCCCTAACCCCTGGGGTGGCTGATGGTAGCGCTGGCGGTTAGACCCTGGTTGAGGTGCCCTCAGAAGTGCTCCAGGTTGGACCAGCCAGGGCCATTTCCTTACTGTGCACAGCCCAGTGCACCCCTTGGTGCACACATTCTTTCTGGGCCTGTGTTTTGTGCTGCGAGTCGTCCTAGGTGCTGCTGAGGAGAGAAGAGCAGAGAGTTGAGATACGGTATCTGGAGCTTTCCACAGGGAGCAGTGCAGTACAGCCCCTAAAACAGGAATCGCCCAGCCGGCGGTGGTGGTGGGAAGCCTACAGCTCCATGACAAGTTGGGGTGGCTGCTGCTTTGGAAGAACATAGAGGACCTGTTCTGATTCGGTGCTGGCTAGCAGGCTGTGGCCTTGGGGCAGGTCGAGCCTCAGTTTTCCCGTTTCAAAAATGGAGATGGTGGAGGCAGCCTTCTCACTGGCTTTGCAGCCCCCTGAGACACCTGGAGGTGGGCTCACGGAAGCCTCTCTAAATTTTAGAATGTTAAGCAGAGGCGGTCTTGACCTGGGGAGTTCCTCCCAGCAGAAACAGGGAATGTGCTAGAATAGATGAAGGGCTGCAGAGGTGTCCCAGCATCCATCCCAGCCAGGAGCCAGCACGGTGGGGCCGAGCCTGCTGTTTGTGCTGTGCAAGCCCTAGGGACAAGGCTGCTTTGGGCAGCAGGGGTGCAGGGACTGCAGGAGGGCGCCCGCCTCTGGGGCCCAGCTCTGTGAGGGGCAGCCGGGTCCTTTCTGGAGGCGCAGGAGACTTGGAAAGACATGCCGACTCTCAGCCATTGCCAGTGGATTTGTTCGCCTTGTACTTGGCTGTGGCGGGGTTCAGGCCTGGGGCCTGCGGCTGTGGGGAGGCGGCTGCCCACGTGACCACTCCTCCCAGGTCTTTGCTGGGGGCCCTCTGGCCCTGTCACTGGCCCCAGTGGCGTGCGAGTGTGCAGGCTCTGCCTGGTCGGCACATTTGTGAGTAAATCCATTTTTGCATCTCGCGGGTTTGTGTCTTTGTCCAGGATAGCAAACAGCTTCAGGCAGCTTTGTATCAAGCTTAATGAAACTTTGCTGCAATTAAAAGGAATTTTTTGGGGCGCCTGGGTGGCTTAGTCGGTTGGGCGTCCGACTTTCGCTTAGGTCATGATCTCGCGGTTCGTGGGTTCGAGCCCCGCATCAGGCTCTGTGCTGACTGCCAGCTCTGAGCCTTGAGCCTATTTCAGAGTCTGTATCTCCCTCTCTCTCTGACCCTCCCCTGCTCACGCTGTCTCTCTCTCTCTCTCTCCTAGAAATAAATAAAAATTAAAAAAAAAAAAAAGAATTTTTTAAAAAGTTGAACAGCGTCAAGTTGGAATATATAGGGACAACCACAGATTCAGCAATGTAGAACCACTGGGCCAGAGGAGGAGGGCTCCCGAGCTCACAGGAGGGGGCATCTGCCCCGGGAGGCCACCCGTCCCCCCTCCTCCCTCCTCTGGTCAGAGCAGCACGGGGCTTGCAGAGGTCAGCAGGTCCTAGGCCTTGGGTCTCCCCATCCTAGGTTCGAAGACTGGAGGGTTAGGTTAGCCCGTCGGGAGGGGGACCCGACAGCCTCCAGCCCCGCCCGGTTCTGTGGCTGACCAGCCAGCGCAGGACGACTCAGTGCCCGGCTGTCACTCTCCCCTCCTCTCTCTGCAGTACGACAACCTCCTGAGCCAGTTTGGCTGCATGCAAGTGTCCACGTCCTCGTCATCACACTGCCTGCCCGCCTCGGACGCAGGCCCGCCGCCAATGGCGGGTAGCAACATCGAGCAGTACATCCACGACCTGGACACGAATTCTTTTGAGCTGGACCTCCAGTTTTCCCAAGACGAGAAGAGGCTGCTGCTGGAGAAGCAGGCCAGTGGCAATCCTTGGTAAGAGCCCACAGGCGTAAGCCGACTGGCGCGGGGCGCCCGGCCTTCGTCTCCACTGCCTGCCGAGGCCTTGTGCTGCCTCACCCCTGCCTCACTGCCTTGCATGCTCTGCAAAGGAGGGCCCTCAATGGGTCCAGCTTGAAATGGGAGTTTGGAGGTGTCGGGCCCCGGAGATGAGCGGGTTCCAGGCCCTCAGGGCTGCAGCCCTTGGGGTTGAGCGGACTAGGCCTGCCGGTGTCCGTGAAGCGATGATGTGGGTTCACAGCTGACTAGATGACCACCGCCCCCTGCTGAGGTGTGTGGGACATTTCAGAATTTTAGCTGTTGCAGATATCATTCGTGGCTAGGTTTTCCCATGTGCCTGGGTATTTCTTTTAGGCGGAGCCTTCGGGTGGTAGGCGGGTGAGCGCGTGCACACACCTGTGTCCTCAGTGCCCAGAACCCCCACTTCCCAGCTCCCCGGCCTCGCCTTAAGCGCTTTGATGCTCTGAAAGTGGGCCCGTGGGAACTTGCACTTGTATTCTTATGATGCAGTCACCTTCTGTGTTCGTTGGCCACATGTATTTATTTTTTGAGGTATTTTGTGTCCTTTGACTATTTTTCTTCTTGTACGTTTTCCATCTTTTTGAAAGAATTTTTTTGTTGTATGTTTTGCACACATTTTTCTTCGGTTTATCTTTTCAGTTAGATTGTATTTTTGCATAGAAGTTACAAAGTCAAATGTGTCTGTTTTCATTTTGGTTTCCACCTTAGTCATGTTGAGAAAAGTGTCTCTACCTTGACATTTTCTTGACGTGTGTTTATGGTTTCACCTTTCACTTGGGCAGAGGGGCGTCCGGTTTGGGGATGGGGTGAGGAGATGTGTGGGGTAGGAATGGGACAGAGCAGGAAGGTGGGTGGTCAGGGGGCTGGGCTGGGCGAGAGTGTGGGGGAGTGAGGAGAAGGCAGGGCCCAGAGAGAAGCGTGTGATGAAGCCAGGGTTTTGTACCATTAGAAATCATTGTTTCTAGAATAAGTGACAATCGATGTTGGCCAACTGGAATAACCTGCGCACTCGGCAGGCCTGTGGGCTGAGCTGCATGGGAGCTTCCGGGGCCCCTGCATGCCGGGGCCCCTGAGAAGGGCTTGCTCTGTTGCAGGCCGGGGATGGGGGCTCCCCAGAAAGCTGTGTATCTTTGCCTATGGTGCTGCCTGAGGCCCCTCAGCCTGGGTTCTGGGCCCAACCGAAGCCTCTTGCCTTGCCTCTCTTTGTTCTGGCTTCTCTTCCCTTTTTTCTGGGTTCGGCCCTATTTGGAATCTGGTGATCGCCAGGAGGTTTGAGGCATCTTTTATTTGACCAGTGCACAACCTGTCAAACACTTTGTTCTTCATAACGGTGGCTCTCCGTGTACGGCGTGCAGGGCTTACCGGTAATGGTGTGATGGTACTGAGTGGTGTTGGCTTTCTCCCCTCGTTCTCTGTCAGTGGGCTGGGCCCATCTTCAGAGGCCCCATGCTGTATGGTGCTGTGGTTTCTCGGTTGTGTGCTTCTTTTTGTATTTTCTGAAGTAGGTTTACAGTATAAATATGTGCAGTTTTAGAGACTTAGTTCTCAGTATTTCTACTGGGCTCTTAGTGGCTGTCTTCAGTTACACCTGCTGTAATTACTGTAAGTCAGTGCCGAGTAAATCCTTGGTTTAAAATCCTGAAGTTTTCCTTGTGCCTACACAGACACCCAACAGCATCTGAGTACACTTTGCTGACTTTTTTTGCGATAAAATTTAAAAATTTCAGAAAAATTTCTAAATTTTATCTGAGACTATTTTTTTCCATACCTAAAAAATTTTTTTAGTGTTGATTTTACTTTCGAGAGAGAGAGAGCATGAGCAGGGGAGGGACAGAGAGGGAGACAGAGTCTGAAGCAGGCTCCAGGCTCTGAGCTGTCAGCACAGAGCCCAACACAGGCCTCGAATCCACAAACCATAAGATCATGACCTGAACCGAAGTCAGATGCTTAACTGACAGAGCCACCCAGCCACCCCTGAAACTATTATTTTAGATTTTAATGATAGAGTCTAAAATAAAAGGACTTGTATCACCTATGTTCCACCTTTAAGTAGGAATCATTGACTCAGAAAGGGGATGATGTGCTTTCTTGCTCCATAGCAGCCCCCCCGACGTCTGAAGGGGCTGAAGAGGAGGTCCTGCCTGTCAGAGAGGGAGCGGTCCACCCGCAGACCTGGGCGGGACTGCAGGAGCTGCAGCGTACTCACAGGGATCTGCCTTCCACTGGGTGTCTCTGAACAGAACGTTTGGCATCCCATCACGGTGCCAGTGAGGCTGCAGCATCAGAGGCCCGTCATTCAGAGTTTGAACGCTAAAGGAATTCCATGTTGTAATTGTACATGACACGAGGAGCTTTTTCAGAGCCAGGCAGTATCACATTACAGAGAAGTCACATTGTCCAGGCTGGAGAAATGCACACAAAAGCTGGGAGACCAAGGAGCCTTGGGCTGTGGATGCTACTGGGTGACAGTGGGATGAAGACGCTCGGTGCTGCCCCAGGCCGTGGCGCGGTAGCTCACGGGGTTAAGGAGATGGCTGCAGACACAAGGAGTGAGTTGGCATCCCTCCCGCCGAGTTGTGTTTTTGCTTTACACGTGGATGACTCCCCAGATACTGCTCGAATTGCAAGCGTTAAGCCAGGCACTGGCTTTGAGCCTGTGAGCCCAGATTCGCATATTTAGGAAGAGACAAGCAAACTGTGATCCGTGCACATGGATGAAAACCAGACGCTCGTGGTTAATCACACTGAGGCACTGAGTCTCTCCAGCTTGGGAGCCGGAAGGCCTAGTCCTTCCCATCTTTCTGGAAGTCCCACAAGGTATCCGCTGAGCTGAGCAGCCTCATCATCCTTCAGCTTCTCATTGATCTCCACAGCCACGCGTCGCGGGGAGGGAAGAAACCTGCCTCACTTACAAGTAGTCGTGTTAAAACTCCTGATTTGTCAGTAGTGTGAATAACGGAGTGGGAAGTGTGCAGGAAGGACCTCTGCCGCCAACTCAGCTGGGAGCCGCCTCGAGCTGAGCCCGCACGTGATGGCTGGCACTGGGGGTGGGATCTGCTGCTCGTGCCATGAAGACCGTGTCACTACAGAGTTTTACTGGCAGACGATGGTTATTCGAATTCGGCCGTTTGGCCCATTTTTCTGGGAAATGAGCAGAATGAGCCTGTCCTTTAAAGACAGACAGCTGCCAGTGTTTCTTACCAGTGATAAAATCAAAGTTAGAGATTTGGGAAACACTCCGTCACTGTGAGCTTGACATCTTCCCAGTACTTAAAGACTTTTTTTGAGGAGAATAGGGAGTGATGGTCATATGTTGGATTTGTCAGCACTGTGGAGTCTGCGTAACCCAGCAAGCCACCACTTTTCAGGCGAGTGCTGTGTGATGCTGTAAAATCACAGAAGGGCTGCAGAGCCGTCCAGAGTGCCAGGGACACTGCTGAGTTCCGATGCCGCAGAGTGTGAAACGCCCATTGTTGGGGACGCAGCTTCCATGTGGCAAGGACCTTGAAGGAGCCACCCTGGTTGAGTGGCTTCAGCCGGGACAGCCGGGACACCGTGCGCAGGCAGAGGCAGCAGGAGCCCCCCCACCCCCCACCCCCACTCTCCACGTGAAGCCATACGCTAAGGAGATTTGCTAAATGTGCAGAAGGCTCCTGCTTCACGTTAACTATCTTCGCTTTGGAAAAAAATTACCCTTAAATAAAAATGGCATTTATGTTAGTATGTGTTGCGTTTATTTTTGTATTTATGAATTAAATATTTGGAAATGTTTCCGTTTTAATTTCTCATACCTAAATACTAGTGGCTGCAACCCAAATAAAGGATATCTCTTTGGGATCTTCCATAAAGTTTGAGGATGTAAGGGGTGCCCAAGAGCTGGTGTTTTAGAGTCAACTGGCCACAGTCACTTGTCCCTCCATCACCTGTGTCAAAGCTTGGTGTGGGGAGCCTTCCCGAGGCAGTCAGAAGAACCACATCGGGTTCCGGCAGCCCCGCTCGGCTGTCCTGACAGCGACCGTGCACAGAGATGGCTCAGGCTTGCTTGTGGCCTCAAGCTTGCATCCTCGAAAATGATCTTTTTGGGATCTGGGTGGGGGAAGGTGCTGCTAGGCGAGCGTGAGGAGGAGGGAACCGCGGAATCAGGAAGGAGTATCTTAACGCCATCACCCTTCAAAGTAGATCACTGGCAGCTTACCACGGGCTGTGCACAACCGGGTTGTGGCGCTTGTGCCAGTAATGGAGTTTGTGACCCTCTGCGTCCTGCCTTGGGTTCATTTCAGTGCAGCCACTGGGTTCCAGTCGGGAACCAGCGCTGGCTGTCATGCCCAGGGCGCGAGGCCTCCTGCCTGCACACATGTGGCAGGGAAGGGGCGTGTTGGTCCTCACGGCCCAGTAGGGCCATCCGTGGGGTCCTCACCACGGAGATGAAGTAGAGGCTTCTCTGCGGTGCCAGAATGTTCTGCGGCTGAGCCAGTGCTGTGGTTTCGGTTTCGCCGGTGCAGAAACATCGTTTGTGGAAGTTGGTGCTCCTGGTCTTCACTCTTCTTTACTTTCTGAGGGTGGATCGCCACCAGTGGGGTTACCTCTCAGTACATCATTTCCAAATTGCTATTCGGCTAGTTCAGGGCCACAGGCACCGGTGCTGAGCGGGAGCACCGCTTTCCAGAGTTCTCACGGGGTGCTCACACACGCCAGGGCACCCCAGTAGGGCATGTGAAAAGGGGAGCTCACTTTAGTTTATTTAGGGCCATGGAGAATGTTGCCAGGTCACTTATTCTCTCTGGGAATTTCTAGTTTGTGTCCTTTGCTCAGTTTTCTGTTGAAACTCTAAGCCTTTCCTGTCTGTTACTTTGTCCTCTGCAGACGTCACGTGCTGACCCCGGCTTGCTGAAGGTTTCTGCCACCTGTCTCCTTGTTCATGTTGGTTGTTGTGTACTTAGGGGTGCTTTTTGTGCTTGTGTGGACCTGGCTGCTACAGAGAAAGTGACTCCTCCCTGCGGGCCTGGCGGATGCGCCCTCCCTCCTAGCTCTTCTTCCCTTGTCGGGAGTCCGATCGCTTTGGGGCTGCTGGTGACCGAGGAGCAGAGTTAACTGTCCTTGAGAAAAAAATCTTTCCTAGTTTTTCAAGCTCGGGGGAAACCTGAGTATTTTATTCTGTCTCCTGTTAACCCACGTGAGGCTGCGAAGATGGGGGCTGGCAGTGGAAGGCCACGTCTTTCCTTCTGTCCTCCTGGCCTTCCCCGGTGCTGTGGTGCCCTCAGCCCAGTGCCGCAGTGGCCCGGCTGCCCGGAGGGCTTGGTGGTGGGATCTTTCACAAGACTGGGCTGAAATTGAGCTCCCCTCTGCACCCAGTATAATTTAATTCAAGTCTCCCCATATTATTTGTGGTTCTGAGGGGCACATCCAATGTTTCTGTGTTGGGGCTTGTTGACTAGAAGGGGCTTCTATTCGATACGTGTATTTCCGTGCTGCAGGAGATCACTGTATCTCCTTTTCCAAAATCTGCGTTTATTTCCAACTCTCTGTTTCAAGTCTTGTTTTTGTTCTTTGGTTTGGTTTTTAAGTACCTTTGAGAGGGAGGTAAAATTCTGTTTAGTTTTCAAAATCCACATGCTGCTACATCCCCTTAGAAGTAGGATGGGGCCATAGCGGGCTCTGGAGTGGGCGCTGGTCTCGATGGGTTAGTCTGGGGACAGCCCTCAGGCCCAGTTGAGCCTGGTGCCAGCTTGGCTGGCCTTGCACACGTACTAGGTTCCATGTACGCTCAGGCTCAGATACTGGAATGGTAAAACTGTCACTTTTTGAGGTAACAGTTGTTTTGTGCCTTTTCAAACATAGAATGCTATGTTCTACGGTAGACCCCCCAGATCAAGAATTTCAGTAAAGTCACACAGAACAGAAACTGGCAGCTGTTCCATTTAACCAAAAGAGATAACCTTTAGACATTAGAATAGTGTCTTTGAAACTCCCAGGAGTCAAAGTGAAATGTATTTGCTAATAATGTGTATTAAGTCAAAGTCGAGTTTCTTGCTTTCTCCAAATCCCTGCTGTATTTGGGTTAGGAGTGCTTTGTTATTATGGTAGAAACACCAGTAAGATTGTTTGTTTGTTTGTTTGTTTAAGGTTTCTTTTTCTTTTTCTTTTTTTTTTTTTTGGTGAGAGAGATGGGGGGAGACAGCGTGAGCAGGGGAGGGTCAGAGAGAGACAGAGATACAGAATCTGAAGCAGGGTCCGGGCTCTGAGCTGGCTGTCAGCACAGAGCCCGATGCGGGGCTCGAACCCACGAACCGTTGAGATCATGACCTGAGCCATGACCGTTGAGACGCTTAACCAACTGAACTACCCAGGCACCCACTAAGGTTTCTTTTTTGAGAGAGGCAGAGAGAATAAGAGTGCACATGCACGCATACAAGAGCAGGGAAGAGATGGAGAAAGAGGGGGACAAAGGATTCGAAGCAGGCTCTCTGTGCAGACAGCAGAGAGCCCGATGTGGGGGGTTGAAGTCACGAGCTGTGAGATCATGACCTGAGCTGAAGTCGGTTTCTTAACTAACTGAGCCCCCCAGGCACACCCACCAGCAAGATGTTCTTAAACCGAGTCCAGCATGGGTCTTTTAGGAATTTGTGAATCTCAGCTACTTGGTGGTTTCTGAGTATACAGTTGGGGTCCCAGCTTGGGCAGGTAACACGTGGCCAACAGTATATATCCTGAGGTTGACTCTCAGCAGCCTCCACCCTTTTGGGGGCTCTGTGTTCACCTCACCTTTGTTCACACCAAAGAGGACATGTGTCACCGTGCAGGTCTGCAGCGCCACCTTGCCGCCACCTTTGCTGCTTCGCAGATACCTCTGTGCAAGAGGTAGCAGCAGGTGACAGTGCTGGCAGGTATAGATGCTGGTCCACACCTGCATGGGAATTTGGGAAGCAGCGGGTGCTTGCACGCTCCGTAGCACTTGGGGCCTCATGAGTTACTGGAGTGAGTTGGGGCTGTGAAGGAGGAGGCTTGAGCAAAGCTCCCAGATGCCCTGCCCTCGAGAAGTTCGTTTTGAGTAGAGTTGGGGGAGAATTTCTGTCCCTGACTCATGCCAGTGTCTCATTCTTGCTTTCTTCCTTTTATAGGCACCAGTTTGTAGAAAATAACTTGATACTAAAGATGGGTCCGGTAGATAAGCGAAAGGTAAGTCTGACTCCCGCCACACCGCCCTGAGCACCTGTCTCCCTGTCCGCTCTGGGTCGGGGCCTGGCCTCCCTTTTTGGTTGCACACGGAGTCTTTGGTCTGGGTTCCCTTTCTCTACAAGAGCATTTCTCGATTTGATGGCTAAGGAAAGACTTCAGCCACTCAGCGGAAGCCGTTTGAAACCACACAGGAAGGCTGTGGTAAAATAGAAATACAACCTCTCGTTTCTGGCTCAGGACTGGGGTTTTCATATTCTAGCGAGCTGTTACTTCATTAGAATGGTTTTTCAAAATTGTTATTTCTGACATTTTATGGATTAACTCAATGGATTAGTTGTGTCAAAAATATCAGACTCCACAAATGTTCTCTGAGGGCAGGCTCCCGGTCTCCGTTGCTGGCCATGCCAGGCACCCTGCCCACCCAGGGCAGCCCAGCAGATGGGACCCCATGAGGAGTGAGGAGCCTGGCGGCTATGGCAGCCTCACAGAATCGGCTTGGCTTTGCCTGCCCATGCTGCCACTGCCCCGGGTGGCAGCCACAGTGGCCAGTGCAGAGGCTGGGACCCAGCTCCAAAAGGCTGGGCAGGCCAGGTGCCCCATTCCTCCTGCCCCTCTTGGATGTGAGAGGCTCATCCGGGGTGGGGGGTGGGGGGGGCGTGTCTTGTGTGCGTGAATGGAGGGCTGGCAGCGTCCCTGGTGCCCTGAGCTGCTTTGATGACCCGGCCTCGGGGGCAGCGCTTTGTGCCACCTCCTCTTGCTTCTGGGCCCTGACAAGCAGGCCCTTTTCATTTTGCATCAGGGCTTGTTTGCACGACGACGACAGCTACTGCTCACAGAAGGGCCACACTTGTATTACGTGGATCCTGTCAACAAAGTCCTGAAAGGTGAAATTCCATGGTCACAAGAACTCCGACCAGAGGCCAAGAACTTTAAAACCTTCTTTGTCCACACGGTGAGTTTGTCTCTGTGGGTTCTCCTTTGAGGGGCTGGTGTTTCCCCCTTTGCTGTGTTCCGGGGCCCCATGTCCACGGCTCAGCCCCGAGCTGGGCCAGCAGGCACCTGGGCTCGTCTTCCCGAGGCACCTGTGGCCCTTCCTGCAGAGTTGAGGTCTGCATGCAAGTGAAGGAAAAGCCCCACATGCTCGTGTGCTTCCCGTGGGTGTCGCAGTGGCCATAGTGGGGATGACGGTCTCTTCTGCGCTCTCTCACGACAGGTCGAGGTGCTGGTCTTGGCGGGACTCCCTCAGGAGCATTAAACTGGTTTTGTCTCCACAGCCGAACAGGACGTATTACCTGATGGACCCGAGTGGGAATGCTCACAAATGGTGCAAAAAGATCCAGGAAGTGTGGAGACACAGGTACCAGAGCCACCCGGACGCCGCCGTGCAGTGACATCCCAGGCTGCTGCCCTCGCTGCCAGGACACGTGCCCCAGCGCGGCTCGCCGCCATCGGGACGCTTCCAGACCACCTGCCAGCCATCTCACAGGGGACGCAGACGGCGGAACCTTGCAGCTTTTTTATTTA